CCAAAGTGGCCTCCAACATCGTGTCCCAATGCCCTTCGCTCATGCTGTTACTAGCACCGACTTTTTGCACTAATAGGGCCCCGGTGGCATAGTAGGTTATAAGTTAGAGTGCTAACTCCAAGGTCAGCAGTTCAAAACCAGCAGCACCTCCACAGGAGAAAGGTGAGGATTTCTGTTCCTGTAAAGATTTATAGTTTCGGAAATCCAGTGGACAAGTCTACTCTATCCTATAGAGTCTTTATAAAAAGTCTCCATAAGGCAGAAACTTTATGTCTTTATAAGGCAGTGTGACAGTGACATAATCTCCTGTCAACTTGCGAAGGGATAGAGTCTAGCCTGTCAATCAGCCTGTCAATCACTGAGCCAATGATGCCTCCGTGTGGGCATGGCCTTCTTATGAGGATTCTGGGAACCCTGGTATTCCTCCCTGGAGGTGAGCGACACTCTCTGCTTGGTCTTCTTGCTGAAAGTCACATGGGGCTACACTGATGCAGCCAGAGCCCTGGAACTGGAGGAGCCACGTGGAGACACACACCAGCATTAAGATACTTCTACCACCACTGGATCCACAAGACTTTCTACCCTTTGGCCTGTAATTTTCCTGCATTTGGCATCATTGCATGTGTTACGTTAGTCTAAAGAGGAATGTATAGATTGGTATCGGGCATATGGGCCAATATTGGACTTATGGGCTTTATCTGGACTGGACTAGGATGTTTTCTTAATATATAATTACCCTTTATATAAAGTTCTCTATTACACACGAGTGTCTCAGGATTTGTTTCTCTAGTCAAGCCAGACTAACACAGGCAGGAACTCAATGGCAGTGAGTGTCCTTCATAGAGACGGCTGTCGGGGGTCTGCGAGTCCATTCTGACTCAGATGGACTGTGCAGGGATTGTGAAGAACCACTTTGAAGGGAGCAGGTCCCTGCTGGGGCCTTCTCCCACTGACTAGCAGCTGAGCACTTACACAGTGCGCCACGAGGGCTCCTTGCACTAAGACTAGACTGCTGGGCAGAGGAGGGGCACTTGCCTGTCCTCTGTGGTCCTCAGTCTAAGCATGCATGCAGGAGGGGCCCACTGACCGCCGGCTGAATGAATGAAGGCTCCGTCCTCTGAGTGGGCAGGAGAGCTCTCTGAGGATGAAGATGCATGTTTAGGGGATGAAAGCAGCTACACACGGAGTGAGGGTGGGTGGGGGCGGGGGACGGGGGCAGGGCGGGGAGGAATGACATGGGGCTTTTCAGGCAACAGCCA